AATTTTTTAAATTATTTTTTATCTTGGAGAACAGCATATATCATCAAAATCGACTTTGTAATTTTGAATTATTACATTAAAGTTCAAGAAATGAGAAAAACATGCAAGTTGCTCTTTTTTTAAATAGTTTTTTCCTTATTTCTTGGACTTTTTCAAAAGCTTAGTAAATGGTGCTTTCTTTCTGTATTTTTTTTGGCAGTTCTTATCAGCAGAAACGGCAAAGTATTCTGTTATCTGTAAATTACTATAAAGTTCTCGATACCTAGACGCATCGATATTTTACGTATCTGTCTAACACTACTTGGACATGACCGCTGAAGACGTCACAGGCTAGTAAACAAAATTGTAATTCGTTGTGACGACGACCAATTATAGGACGTTTTCGTCGTTGAATAAATTCTTAAAAGTATTGCATTTTCTTAACGTTATTTTACTAAACCTAAACTTGTTTTTTCTGCAGATGATAAGAAATAAGCTTTCATAGATTATTATCTATCAGGATGACCACAAAATGCAACGTATTTTCGATAGTGTCAAATACCCTATTGTTTACTCTTTACGGTGATTACGACTTCAAGCTGTCAGTTGAGTTAACAAATGGACATGCAGGTTGGCGACCAGTGTGGACGGATTTTTATGGTGACGCACGCACTATGACGCACAGCCATCTAGTGTTTTGTCTGTCTACGTTTTGGATATACGTGTAGAAAGAAATAACATCCTCTAATTTACTCTTCGGAACGCTTAGCGGTGCCTCAGAATAAAGTAAGGCTAAAATGCTTGCATTCGTCTTTTTTTCCTTACGATCCGTGTTAATGCGTTAGAAAGAGATGTATAAGTATTAGTCATGTAATTTATGTAGATCGTCACAAGTTTTTGCAAACTCATAGTTTATCATTATTATTCCTGTATCCATAATTTACTCTTCCCGACCCCTCGACGATTCGAGGGGTGGGAAGATTCCCCCCGGCAGAGGAGGCCAGACGGCCGGGGGTCAGGGCGACAAAAAGAGAAAACGGCGGACGATCCTTGCGTTATCGAGCAAGATCGCCCGCTGGAGCCTCGCAATCATTGGTCCGTCAGGGAGTCCCAACCTCTTCAGAAGAGAAGTTGGGACTAGGCCATTCGTTGACACTACGACTGGGATGATCTCAGTGGATGACACTCGCCACATATCGGTAACCTCGTGCGCCAGGTTCAGATATTTAAGTTTTTATCTGATTCGGCTTTCACGAGGTTTTCATCGAATGGGACGGTGACATCCACTAAGAACACCCGAGTCCATCAGTACGATATCAGGCTTGTTCGCAGGAACAGTCCTGTCCGTAATGACGGACCGGTCCCAGAACAATCGAGCGCGGTCGTTTTCAAGAACCTTTTCGCCTATGCCGTATTTGAAGACTAGCTCGAGATGGAGTATTTTGGCTGCTTGGTCATGTCTGTGCAAATACTCGGTATTAGCCAGTACAGGACAACCGGAAATAATATGCCTGAGTAACTCACCGGGCTGTTGACAGGCTCTACAAACGTCCTTTGTCCCATCCTTCTTTCAAGATATACTTCCGGTAGTTTCGGGTCATAAGCGCCTTGTAGAACCTACCGTGCAACTTCTTCTCCCTCCAAACGGCCTCTCGGTCAGTGGTGCTAAGTACTGCTGGTTCTCGCCATTGCTCAGTGGCCAAAGAGAGAGGGGTTAGTCCTACATCACATGCTTTGACATCTCTATGCAACTTACTGGATTCCGATTTCGCCAGGAAGTAATTACGGAGACTGTGTATCTCGCGGTTGTGCAGGGTTTTCGCACTGAACAGCCCACGACCGCCGCTCTTCCTCGGGATATACAGCCTCATCACTGACGATCTCGGGTGGTGCATCCTATGGAGTGTCAAAGTTGTGCGGACTTCCCGATCCAGGGCGTCCAATTCGGTCTGAGTCCATCTGAGTATGCCAAAGGTGTACATTAGGACTGGCATGACCCAACCGTTGATGGCCCTGACTTTGTTGACGCCTGACAGGTAGCTTTCAAGCACCTTAGTCAGGCGTCCCAAAAAGGCCCCCTTAACGGATTGTTTCACGTCCGCCATATGCACACCCAGATTCTGTGACATACCCAGATACCGGTATGTATCAGTTTCGGAGAGGGTACGGATGGTGGATCCATCCGGTAGGTCCACTTGGGTGGAATCACTTATCTGACCTCTATCCACATGGATAACCGCACACTTGTCCAGCCCAAACTCCATGCTGATGAAACTACTGAAATCCTTTGTTATTTTCAGCAGCTCCGCCAGCCTCTGAGCATTTGGAGTAAGCAACTTGAGATCATCCATGTACAAGAGGTGAGATATTTTGAACAATCCTCTCTTCAACTGAAAACCTATCCCTGATTTATCCAGCAAAGTGCTAAGCGGATTTAGGGACAGGCAAAACCAAAGTGGACTTAGACAATCGCCCTGGAATATACTCTTCTCAATCTTTATTCGGTCTTCTGCATCCGACAGCTGCACCCCGAACAGACTAAGCTGCGTACTCCACTGCTCCATACAGGTCTCGAGGAAGTTTCGAACTGTACTATCGATCTTGTACAGCTCGAGGACCCTCTTCAACCACGTATGGGGAACCGGGTCAAACGCTTTTTTGTAGTCTATCCAGGCTGCAGAGAAGTTGCGTCGGTTGCGTTTGACCTGTTGGGCCACGACCGCATCGGTCAGGAGAAGCTCCTTTGAACCGCGGCTCCCGCCCCTGCATCCATTCTGAGTGTCCACCATGATATGATTGTACTCAACGTGAGCATCAATCTTAGCCTTCAGAATGAATGTCAGTGCTTTGTAGGTGGTACACAAGCACGTTATGGGGCGGTATTGTGACGGATCCGCGGTATTGGTGGACTTAGGAGCTAAGTGAGTGACCCCAGTTGTTAAGAAGTTTGGGAGACTTCGCTGTTCTAGGGCGTCTTGGAATTGGCGGGCCAGGAATGCGTGGCATGAGCGGAAACTCTTCAACCAGTAGTGGTGCAGTCCGTCAATCCCTGGAGTTTTCCAGTTCGGAGCTTTACGGAACGCAGCCAACACGTCATCCGACTCTATGGTAATGGGGTTCATCGCATCTATCGATGCACACGCTTCCTCTATAGGCGCCATCCATTCGCCCTCTATGTGCTCCACAGGCCGGGACCAGATGTTCCGCCAAAAGGTAATGACATCTGTGACATTCGGTCCTTGGCCAGTGGAGGGGCCAGCTCGTGTCTCCCATGTACGGTAAAACTTCTTTTGGTCACTCCCAAAGAGACGATTCTGGCGAAACCTTGCCCCTCTCTCGGAATACCGCCGTATCCGACTTCCCCAAGCCGCAATTTTCTGTTTCAGGTCATCGATGCGCTCCGACACTTTTCGCATTAAGGCGGGGTCTGCAAGACTGAAATCTATCCCCGCCATTGTCATATGTACGAAATGCATCACCCTCGGCCTCGTATTGCCTGACCTGAAACTAATCAGTTTGCCGATGAGGACTCTGGTCTCAGCAATACGTTTCTCAATCCTCTTACGCCACGCCGGAGTCTCGCTGTGCCGGGCATTGATATGCCGTTCAGCTCTCCCAGTGGGCACTTTGGCGCCGATGAATCGACAGACCGCCAATGCGGCGCCAAATAGGATCGAGTTGGTATCACTGAGACTGCCGTTTTCTTCCAAGTATGGAAGAAGCTTACTGCCTCAACGACATCCCGATTTTACGACTTAGGGGTATCCTCGGGATTTTCGGCCTCTCCTCAAGTGGGAGCTCGCGAAATTCGAGAATCGCCTCTTCAAGTAATCCCCTGATCTGCTCTAAATTCTGGACGGTTGCGTCGTCTACCCTTCCCGTTTCATCAGGAGCAGGACTGGCCACTGTAGCATTGGGGTCGCATATGGTGCTGCGCGCAATGCTACTCCGCCTTCTGCTCTGCTTTCTGCTCTGCCTTCTGCTACCGGGACTCATAGACGACACAACCTCGAGTCGTAGTTGACCGAGTTCTGCTTGAGTAAAGATTTCTCTCCGAAGAATAAAGCGAACTCGATCTGCCAAATTTTGCGCCGTAACGGACAGCGAAGGCTTCAGGGTATGAAACGCAGCAAGCAATCTTGCCCGATAACCCGTTCCGCCGACACCTGTCTCTGTTGCCCTGTAGTACGCGCGCATGATGTTTTCATTTTGTGGAGTAGTCCACCTCATGCGGCGTACCCAAGCCAGCTGGTGGTGATGGTGGAGTGGGCCGGCGAGATGGTCGTGCCGGCCCTCGGGGTTGGCTGGCTCGCATTCTGCTCGACCCGGCGCCAGCTCCGGGCGAGCCCTGGCGACCCCCAGGCAGCGGCCCTATACGCGCTCTATTTACTCCACTCATCATAGTACTAAAATAGGCTAGATACATCAGGGGTCGCCCAATTCCCTGATGGGTCCGTTAAGATAGATTGCACCCACAATGACGGCAGATGGAAAAGAAGCACGGACCAACACTTCTCGCCTATGAGTAACATTTTAGGTGCGGACTAATTGCACTGATACGGCAAATCCTCTCACTAAACTCGTCGCATCAGTCGGCGATGGGGTCGTCACATCCCTACGCTATTCGTAACATCCCTACGCTATTCGTCATTATTATTATTATTAACATTTTCAAAATACAATTCCTAGAAAAAAACTAAAAGTTGCAATAAAATATTATTTGTATGTATTAAACAATATGATTGTCTAAAAATATTTATTCTTATTTAATTGTGTATGGCATGGTCTATTAAAACAATAAATTTATTTCGACGATAACATTTAACAGTTTAATAAAACATATGAGGAAGTATTTAAAAAAATATATTAGTTCTCGAAATCAAACTAGATGTCGCTACAATAGGTTCTCGATTTTCTCCTTGACTTGGTCCATGGTAACAAGTTAACCTACGTGTGGTGCATGCCTTTGTTATTAAAGTTTTTTCTATCTACTCCTTTTTATCCACATTTATGTACTCTTTGCTTTTTTGCCGAGTGAGCGAGTTTCGTTCGAACGAAAGAATTTAATTCATTAAGATACAAAGTTTCTGCCGTTTCAGGGTAATAGTTATTGTTGTTTTAAATAATTATTTATTTAATTATGAGCTACTTATAACAGTTTTATTTTTATTACAAGTAATCCTGTTTTTCTAAATACCAGTTGTCAGTGAAAGTATAAAATTATTACCTACTTTTGTTCGTGTCGAAACAATTTCTCTTACACGTCACAAATTATTTTCAGATATAATGCTGCAGTTTTAATGGTAACTAGACACAACCGCTATTGAAATGTAGTTCCGAAGATATTTGGGATATATCTTTAAGGCAACACAACTTTTTTATACCGGCAGTGCTTTCGGTAAGAAAATTCTTGATGACATTTTATTGTTTACATTTCATGCACGGTTGAGACATTGTCGAAACCAGAGAATTTCTATTTTTTAGTTTTATTATTATTCTTTCTACATGCATTGATTCTTTCCATTCAAAGAAAAAATTGAAACACTCATGTATAAGATTTTGAAACATTTCCGGTTCCTCTTGAATATTACTTATCTAAATTTGCATTGTTAACATAGATAGTTAAGTTATGGTTTGCTATATTTTTCAGGTCAAATATGGCTGATAAAGAACAAGTTATTCAAGCCCTCCGTGCTACTCTTATATCTGTGAAGGGAGCTTTAACAATAAAACAATGTAACCGTAAGTAATAGCATAACTTTATTATTAAGGATGCTATTACAGGATATCATTTTATATATTCTATTTATAATATTTGTTTGAAACACATATCATCATTATTAAAATATATTTATATTTTAAAATTACGATAGATGAATAATAAAAAGAATTGATGTTGGATATCAAAGACAAAAAGTTTGCATGCTGAAACCTAGGATGAAATAAACGGTGGTACGGCACACCCTTACAAAAGTATACATATATACAGTCTATCTGAATTATGTATTAGATAGATAAGTTTATCATTGTGATGTCTACTTCATTTTGCAATTTTTGTGAGCATAGGATACTCATTAGCTTTTTAAATGAAATTTGTACTACTATACTTACAAATACAGGTAAAAGTTATCATATAAAATGTATAGAAAAAACTCCTAAAGATAGAAATTGCTCTTACTGAAAAAAACTATACTCAAAACAATAATACAATATTTTCATCTATTGGATTGAGATGATATTAGTTTTGTATGTTCACCTCTACCACCCTTATAGATGAACTTAATTTGTAATTCCTAAATGATTTAATACTATAATATAGGGTTCTGAGTGATAATTATGATTGATAATTATTGCAAATTATCTTGATAAAAATATACCTTGACAATTATTTTGATAACAATAAAACAGTACACACTTTTTGTACTTTAGGAGTTATTATTTAATGGGAATCATATTTTAACAACTATCAAATTTTGTTTTTATGATAGAGGAAATTGTATAGGATGGACTTCCAAAAAAACACAAAAAAAATATGAAGGTGGTGTTTAGAACCGCAGGCGTTTTCTATTTTGACAAGCGGTGCTACCCCCACAACTAGAAAAAAAAACCACCAGGCGCGGCGAGGGCATTACGCTTACAACTGTGCACGCAACCACATCTTTAAATATTATTGTATATTACTTTTATTCAAATTCTAATAAGAAAAGTAAACTTATAAACTATCAGAACAATTTTTCATTAAAAACACCAAAGAACGGCGTAATCAGGTGGCTTTCATACCTATTTTGTTTTAATTACAGTTTTTGTTCAATTTGTTTTTGTTTGGATATTTTTTATTGTTAGAAATAATAAAAGTAAAGGTTGATTAAATTATAAATTTCTTTCTGTATTTAAAAAAATGATGCCAGTAACTATGGATAATTATACAAAAAAATAATTATCTTGACAATGAGGAAGTTTCATGATGTTGATATTGTTATATTTAAAACAAAATAATAAAAATATAAGTCATAACTAAAGTAAATCTGAAAACAAAATCAAAGTCCATTAATTAATGACCAAGTTATAGGTTTTTAAAACTACATGTTTTGTACAGAATGTCTTTGGCTTGTGATGTCCAGTGGTCAGAATTAGGTAGAAATTATTCATGTACTTACACTGATTTCATACAGCGAAAGAATAAAGTGGATATGCCTCAAATGCCGAGATTAATTTTAAAGAGCAGAAAAAATCCAGTGATTTTTTAAATAAAAAGTTATTTACTTTTACACAATTTAAACTACTGCACGCACGACGTTGCCAAACTTACATCAATGACATCGGATGTCGACAGTTACAAAATCCAATACGCGCGATGTTGCCACGTTTGTGGTTCGCACAACATAGCTTGTGAGAACAAAAGAATACAATAGCACAAATGCGGAGCACTCCCCACTTAACGTAATGTACTAGATTGTGTCTCTTTCTACCGCATTCAAACTATCTATTAGCAATGAATCGGTTTACTCATTCACTCAGCTCATTCGCTTACTTCGGTTTGTAGAATGCGTTCACTTGTTTCCTAATGTGTTTTATGTAGTCAATCGTGATTGACTCTGGCTGACTTTGATTTGGCCTTACTGTATTGGATAATTGGATATTTGAAATTGGTGATATACTTGGTAAGTTTCTTGTTCATATTTTTATTAAATTTCCTTTAAAATAGATTTTCCCTATGTAGAACGTATTGTTATCAAAATCGGTATTGTTTAACTTAAGATGTTCTTTGAATGAATGAATGAATGAATGAAATATGCTTTATTGTACACCAATACAGGACAAAACAATCAAATACAATTTAATTTAATGCACAATTGGCGGCCTTATTACTAAAAAGTAATTTCTTCCAGGCAACCTTTGCGTACAGGAAAAAAAAAACTGAATCTAAATTTGGGTAGCTTATGGTGTCTCAAAACTTTAGTAGAGAAAAAAAATATATATATGTTACGCTCAAAGATCGAAAACGCTCAGTGAGCGGAAAAATAGCTCACTACGCGTTGTGGTCACAGTTAAACATCCACATGGCGAAATTCGTGTTATGGCTCTAATGAAAACGCGCACGACGCGTTGTGGCAATCACAGAAAGACCAAATAGCGAAATTCGTGTCGTGGCTGACATGCTATTCCATCTCAACGCGTTGTGGCAATGAAGAAAAGCCATGATGCGTTCTGAGCATTCATTGTTTTAACCATATTACGACGGACAGGTTGTAACTTGTCGATGTCGGCTCGGGTGTAACGACGCATTATAACATCAGTTTTATTCATTTCTTTTCTGTGGCTGATAATAATTCACAAAATTGGTCAGAAGGATTGCGATTTATTCAGAGTAAAAAAAATCGTGCTCTTCATCATGCGCTTAAGAGAAGTCCTTACGAAGCTATATTTGGATCTGAAGAAGTTTTACAAGATTTGGTTCTATCTTCCATTAAAAATGATGTTCAAAACAACGAGAAGAATATAGAAAATGATGAACAGTTAAACAAATTACAGAATTTAAACGTGTCAGTTATTACTGACGTTATAGAAGAATCAAGAAACATGGGCAATGATTAAAAAATTCAGGAATCGGCCAATGCAAATATTGATTTAGGAAAAGCTGAAAGTTTGAAGTTATGTGCTGTTTGTAAAAATGAGACGTCAGGAGCTCACAAGTGCTTAGACTGTCATGAATATGTACACGTTATCTGCGGAGAAAGCAATGAGAATGAAGGATTTGGAGCAAATGTAACTTGTAAGCTCTGTTTCAGAAAGTACAGAGAATGTGCTAAATCAGGTCTACAAGAACAGGCAAACAAAATGGTTTCACCGTCTAATTCAAAATTTCCTTGTGTTGAAGTTGGTTCTAACGTTTTTTAACGTCCTGAAGTTGATAGAGGACGTGTAGCACCCAGGAATGTTATGTGTGTTGTTATAAGCATTAATCCATCAGGTCTCTACCAGTTAGGAAACAAAGAAGGTACATTCGATAGACTTTATGCACGTAATAAGTTTACACTTTAGTTTACACTTTCTGAAACCAACTTTATTAATATTTGTGATGTGCCCTCAACTTCGTCGTTAACACTCCGCTCAGCATCTATGTTATCATCTGGAAGTAAGCAAAAGTTTATAATGTGCCACTGCAAAAGATACTGTATTGATAAAAAGTGCAAGTGTCGCTCCAAGAATATAAAATGCAACTCAAAATGCCACAGTAATAGTTCCTGTAAAAATAAATAGCAGTCAAATACTTAAGTACATTATTGTTGTTTATTGGTGGACAATAAACATTTATGTTTGTGTTAAATATTTTTATTACTTGAAAGAATTTAAATTGTCATAAAAAAATTAAAATCCCTAATTATTTTAAGTGAATTGTAAAAAATTTCCAAATGATTAACATTTTGTGTTCAGTAATTTATTACTTAATATTAATACGTTGATTTTTTAAAATATAAAATAATCTCAATAAACAACAAATATCGTTTTATTTTAATTTATATAATATATTTCATAATAACAAACACGTTTTGCAGTGATTTTATAAAATAAAAAATATTTCCTAAGGACATCTACCAAAATGTTTCCAGCCTAGGTCTAGTAGGATCCATATCGGAAAGTAGTGTGTGTCGTAATCAAATAATATTCCATACGCGTGATGGCTTTTCTTCATTGCCACAACGCGTTGAGATTGAATAGCATGTCAGCCACGACACGAATATCGCTATTTGGTCTTTCTGTGATTGCCACAACGCGTCGTGCGCGTTTTCATTAGAGCCATAACACGAATTTCGCCATGTGGATGTTTTACTGTGACCACAACGCGTTGTGAGCTATTTTTCCGCTCACTGAGCGTTTTCGATCTTTGAGCGTAACATATACATATATTTAATAAATGAATTAAGTAATAAATACCACAAAAACAATAAATCATACATACATATAATATACATACATATAGCATATACCTACATAGATAAAGGAGATTAAGGATTCAAGGTGAGTGATAGATAGTACTCTTTAACCAGTCTTTTAAAAACGTGTATGCTTTGTGCGCGTCTGATAACCTCTGGCAATGCATTCCAAAGACAGGCCGCTTGGACTGAAAATGATACAATCACAATAAAGTAATAATGATTTCAAATGCTACTGAAGAAGCATAACATACGGGACTCGTTTTTTTAATTGATTACCTATATGGTTAACGATTGGAATTAAATTTTCTGGTAATCTTTTATTGATTTTCTTTAAACTTTAGTATAAAACAAAGTTCGCTTCCCGCCGTCTATCTGTATGAATTTATGCACGCTTAGATCTTTTAAACTTCGCAACTGTTGTGCCCTATCTCTCACATATTTACAAACACATTCATACGGTTTTCTAAAATTTATAATATTTTTGCTCCAGATTAAAAGTATTATCATGGCGCAGAGTTCAATCAAAGAAGCCACCATCAACAAGTGGATCAAAGATAATCCGGAGCTATTTTACGACCATGCAAGTGGATTAATTTACTGCTCTAAATGCGAAGCACATTTGAATGCAACTCGTCAGAGTAACGTCCAAAGACATGTAGAAGGAGCAGTACATAAAGGCACGAAGAACGAGCGCCACACTCCTTTAGAATTTTACTTCGACTTAATCGAATTTATGATTCTTTGTAACATACCATGGTCCCAACTGAGCAACAATGTATTTAAAACATTTTTTCAAAAGTACATGTGTTGCAATTGCAAAAATATTGAACTACCTAGTGAATCCTTATTGAGAAAAGTTTACCTGAATCAGCTTTTTAAAATCAAAGCACAAGAGATGCAAAGTAAGAATGTAGATAAAAAGCTATGGCTTTCAGTAGACGAAACTACGGATTTCTTAGGAAGAGCTGTCGTACATTTGTTGGTGAGACCATTTGTTGGTGCCATCAGCCTTACTTAGTGGCATGTAAAATGTGACATGTCTTTAAACAGTATGTGGGGAAGTTCATTTGAGAGCAAACTAGATAACGTTAGAATGTTATGCACAGACAGTGTGGCATACATGATATCAGACGGTAGAATTTTAAAATCAACTTTTCCAAAAATGTTGCATTTCACATGTTTAGCCCATGCTCTAAATCTTGTTGCGGGGCAGATTAGAAAATAGAACCCTAATGTTGACAGTTTAATTTCAAATATGAAAAAGTTTTTTGAAGGCACCAAAAAGAATTAAAATCTTTAAAGAAATGTGTCCGGATTTACCTTTACCTCCTGTAATTACCAGATGGGGTACTTGGCTTGATGCAGCATTCTATTACGCTAAGCATTTCGATGAAGTTAAATCTGTATTGTCTGTGCTGAACAGTCAAGAGGCAAAATCAATAGAGAATGCTTTAAATTTTTTTAATAATAATGACAACATTAAGGATGATTTGTCTCGTATTTACGAAAATTTTTCAATTATACCAACAGCTTTGACATCACTACAGAAATCCGATCTTTCTCTAATGGAATCATTTGAAATATTTGATGCAGTGAGATTAGCTTTGAGATGATTTTTCAAAGATTTTAGTTAACCGACGTTAAGTAAAATCTTTGAAAAAATAATTCTTGAACAGTTATTGTCTTATTTTAATTAAATAAATTACTGCATACTAAACAATATGGTTTCACAAAAGGTCGCTCTACTGCTGATGCTGGTATAGCACTTCTTAAACATATATTCAGAGCTTGGGAGGCGTCACAGAATGCTCTTGGAGTATTTTGTGACTTATCCAAAGCATTTGATTGCGTTGAGCATCGAACACTAATAACGAAGCTAAATTACTATGGTATCAAAGACTCCGCCCTACAACTAATATTGTCGTACCTCAGTTGCAGAACTCAAACTATCGATATTAACGGTGTGAGATCATCTGGATCACAAGTAAAAATGGGAGTTCCCCAGGGATCTATTCTGGGTCCCTTTCTGTTTCTAACTTACATAAATGATTTGCCATTTTTTGCCGAAACTTTATGCGATATAGTATTGTTTGCAGATGATACTTCTTTAATATTTAATATTGATAGATGTAAAAATAATTTTGACGATGTAAACAATGCTCTATCACAGATTATGACCTGGTTTACTGTAAATAATCTCCAGTTAAATGCTAAAAAAACGAAATGTATAAAGTTTATGTTACCTAATGTAAAAGCTGAACTTACAGAAATTAAACTTAATGATGAAAAGCTTCTTAGGTGTAACGCTGGATTCTAAATTGCAATGGCATCCTCACATTTCATTTTTGGCGGGAAAACTAAGTTCAGCTGCCTTTGCAATAAAAAAAATTAGGCAACTTACAGATGTAGATACCGCTAGGACAGTATACTTTAGTTATTTCCATAGCGTTATGTCATATGGCATTCTGATGTGGGGTATGGCTGCAGATATAGAGTCTATATTTATTTTACAAAAAAGAGCAGTAAGGCCCATTTATTAATTGGGTTCAAGAACGGAGAAATTCATTGAAGCCAAAAAATATTGAAAAGCTTATGATTATATATTTTAATTCTCACAAAAGTTATACAGTAATGTCGGAAGCGAACACTTCAAATCTTACTGGTAATCAATCGGACAAGGAAAATGATTCTGATGGGCCGTTTGAATAGGCAAAACCTCATCAGTCTAGGCTAGAAGCAAAAGTATTCGCTCGTATTTATAAAAAAGGCGAAATATGCGTATGAGAATTTGCTTAAGACTATCAATAATTTGTATTGTAAATTAATGTAAACTAATAAAAATTTTATTTTAATTATCTTTGTTTTATTTGTCTATCTCTGACGTTGTTATTATTATTTAGTTGTACGATTGTTGGTCACACGGGATTGTCCATTAGAAATCCCGTTAATTACACTTAATATCAACATTTCGATGCAAGTACATAAATAACTACCTAATTCCGACCTCTGGTGATGTCACAGCACTACAAATTAAATAGAAGTGCAAATGCTTATTATTTTCTACTTAGTGGGTGTTTAGTTATTAATGGACATCAAATTTTATTTTTTTTATTTTTATGTAGTTTATTTTTATATACCTATGTTTAATAATAAGAAGAAAAGGACAATAGTGTATATATTTTCTAACCTACAAATATATATATATATATATACGATAACAATTTTAGTGTGTTTAAACTGTTTAGATACCAATAAGTATAAAAAACAGGCAAGTGCAAGTAGGACTTGTGCACCAAGGGTTCTTTGCATTTTATACTACTATCGACCAATGTAAATGAGTTGCACTAGTCAGGATGCCAATGACAGTCAATGACCGTCTAATGAAAATAAGCAAAGAAATCGCCGCACACTGCATGTGGGCCCTATCGACCAATGTAAATGAGCTTGCAGCAATGGATAAACCGATGATAGACAATGATCGCCTACTGAAAATAACAATAAAAGAAATCGTACGCACTCCGCATGCGGACACTATCGATCAATGTAAATAAGTTTGATGATCATTGATTCTTATTGTTTTACAGCCTAGAAAACTAATACGAGTCTATGACCGTGTAATGAAAATAAGCACAGAAAAATCCGCATTCCACTTTCAGGCCCTGTCGACCAATGTACCTGAGCTTGCACTAGTCAGTAAATCAATGACACTCAATGATCAGAATCGTATGGAAATCATAGTAATCGTATGCACTCCGCATGCGCATGCATTCCGAGAGAAACCCGTGAAGATCGCGAGAGGGGATTATGCCTGTGCCTATTGAAAAGACTTTTTCTGAATCATGCCTTGGGGTGTCCCTATTGGGATCGCGAGAGGATGGGCTCCGGAATACGCTTCGTATAAAGAGGCAATGGATAGGGAATAGGGATCCCAGGATACTGAGGGATCTATTAGGAGACGCAGTGGGGATACCATGACCCGACAAACGAATAGATATGCGGGTGCCGGAACTTGAAGATTCTGTTGATGCAAAGGATCTGCACAGGGCGGTAGTAGAGCTGAGTGGAATGCGAAGCTTGAACTGTTAAGGTGTCAAGTACCTGCTGCTGATGACTTCACTGCGATGCGCGGCGGCCGGCCAATCACAGCGCGTTCTGTGACCGCGCGCCGGGTGGGGGGAGCGCCCCCACCGGGTGGACGGTGCCTATGAAGCCAATGGGTTCTCCGATAATTCTACAAATGTAGACGCTGTGATTGGTCGTTCGATCTGTACATTTTGCGGTACGTGGCTGTCGTCAACAATAACCCTGGATAGCCACGCTGGTAACTTGGGGTATGCGGCAACGCATTTACCATCGTTAAAAAAAGGCCAGATTAGCTTTTTTTTTCTATTGTTGATCCAAATGAGTGATGTATGTATAAAAATTGTTAAATGATAAACGAAGAAGCTTAGATTATAGTTTTTATGTAAACGTGTAGGATTTTATGTAATGTCTTTTCTTCCGTAAAATTTCTTACCATATAATTACTGATGGAAGTTAAGTGGCGGGTATTTAGTGAGCTCTTGGGAGCTTATTTATTTGTTGATAAATACTATAATAATTCCTTAGTTAATAGTGTCACATAAAGTTCTATTTGATATCAATAAATAAAATTTTATGTGCATATGTTTAGGAGATTACAGAGAACTACAAGGCGAATGGATACCGTTTAAGAAATTAGGATATTCAACATTGGACAAATTATTTCTTGACGTTCCTGGTTTTAAAGTTACTCAATCAAATGGGGAATGGTATGTTGATGCCATAGCCAGTCAAGAAACACAACATATTGCATCAATGGTGGCACGGCAAAAATCAAGTAAAAAAACCAATTTGAAATTAAGCTATTCAGTAAGTATTACTCCTAACAAAAATCTAAATATGAAAATGTGTGAATTGTGTATGACTGGAATAACTGGATATATAAAATAATGTATGTATTTTAAAAAAGATAACAGTAAGGACTCTAGTAACATAACACCTTTAATGTTTCTGCAAGTTTGTGGAACCATTGTATTTTTTTTGGCAAGGAAGATAGAAGTATTTTATATAATCAAAAGTTTTAAAATTGCTATGTCCCTACAGCCCAACTGTAACTATATTCTATTCTCGAGTTTTCCTTATAGAATCGATTTCCGAAGAAGCAGAACTCTTGGCGCAAACCAGTGGCAGCAAGTTACACTTCAAACTATAATAATCAGTACTCGAATCAATATTACAGAGTGAAAAGTGGAACTCCATTTTACAATAACAACTATAGCAATAATAAGGTAAGTTAAACTTTTTTACTCTGTAACCATGGAGCGCTCTTTTTTAAGGGGCTGAATAGTCCTGAATCGATAAAATTTAGCTCGAGTCGTAATAAGTCACGGGAAACATAGTTCAATTTTATCAGTTAGTTCGTGAATCAAACATAGTACGCGAACATATTATAATAATTAATACCTATTATTTATTTTGTGATTCGGCACATACGGTAATTTTTTCAAGCAACCCTAAAGTATTAACATTTCTGTCACTCCTGCTGGGAACTCTATAGACTAGAGTAACCCACACTAACTTAGTTTACGCTGAGGCTTGATGCTTGACGGACCTACACTGAGAATAAGTATTTTAATTTCACTAACATTTCAATGATATGTGTGGTGTAATGTAACATAAATATAAACAGGTAAGGGATGTCCTTCTGTAAAGTGCCACACATGCTTCATCATCATCATTACCCGGCCTTACAATATGTGGCCGGGCCCTACAACTGCACCCCACTTTGTAGCAGGCCTTTTTTATTTCTAGTTTCACATTCATTCCAGTTGTATCGTTTTTTTCTATCCTTTCATTTTTCATTCCTTATCTTTCTTTTGCTCAATTCCTCATTCACACTTCGAGCAACCGGGATCGTCGCGTCTATAGCTAGTCCTACTCTATTTATATTTATTTAAAAATAAAGTCCTTCTTATTATTATTATACTATTCTTATATTATTACTATTTTATATTCTAATACAGTCCTTCACTTTTCTTTCTATATAACTTATTTTATTATTACAATGCTTATTTCTTATTTCTATTGCATATACAATTATTTTTATTTCTTTCTTGTTTATTTCTATAGCTATTTCTATCACAAGTTCTTATTATCAGCCCTTTACATCTCCACTGAAGGGGCTTAGGCCTTCCTTATGGATGGTTAAGAACGATGAGCGATAACCCTCCACGCTGGCCCAATGCGGATTAGAGTAAATAACGACTGCAAATGTAGCTGGGACCAACGGCTTAACGTGCCTTTGATATCACCAGTAGGTGATATAAAATTGTAGATACTAAGTAATAAAATAATAAAATCAGGATTGTTGTACAGTTAATGTATTTTGTGAAGAGAAAACAAAAGCAAGTAAGAAAATGAATGCTGCGTCAAATTGATTTACTCTTTATACCATAGACCAGACACCATCCAACCTAGGATCCAACACTCCTCCTTAAATCAACTAACGCGCAACTACTCGTATTAATTTCATCAACCTCTTTCATGCACACAAACATTACTCACATCAGTAAAACAAACTTACTTTAAATTCACACTACGTACGCAGAACATAAGTTTAGATTTAGGTAAGCCTTTAGTTAAAAAAATCGGCTGGCATATGTTTACCTTTCAGAAAGAACAACTGAATAATACCTTTTTCTAAGATATCATTCATAAAACGAATTCTGACGTCAACGTGTTTGATACGTGCATGGTAATGACTTGCGTTTGCAATAGCAATTGCTGATTGACTATCACAGTGGATTGGAATGGGAGAACACTCAGATGAATGCAATTCCTCCACCAATCTCTTCAAGTACACCGCTTCTCTTGTTGCAATTGACAATGCAATATATTCCGCTTCAGCACTTGAGAGAGGTACAACTCCTTGTTTTTTGCTTTCCCAACTTATTGCGGAATTTGCATATTTGAAGATATACCCTGAATACGACTTTCTATCGACAAGATCACCCCCGTGGTCAGCATCGACAAAGCCTTCTATACCCTTTTGTGTTTTGGTAAATGTTAACCCAAAGTGTTTTGTACCGCTTAGGTACCGAAGTACACGTTTTGCTGCTTGATAATGTTCTTCTGTGAAGCAGTTGTTGAACTGGCTTAAATAATTTACAGCATAAGAAATATCCACTCTTGTAGATACTGCTAGAAACATTAACGAACCAAATAATTCCTGATAAGGAAAATTGGTGACACATGATTTTCTCTTGATGGTTTCGTTAATCTTTGGCCAGCAACTAAGGGAGTGGCTACTGGCTTCCAATCTTGCATTCCCCATTTCTTTAATAATTTCTCCACGTATTCTTGTTGATCTAATTTGAAGCCATTATCAGCTTGATGTAACCTCATACTTAATATCAAAGCAGCTTTTCCTAAATCTCTCATCTCAAAGAGACTCATCAGCTGTTTGTTAAGTTGCAACATCTCAGCTTTGTTATTCCACAAAATTAACAAATCGTCAACATAAACAGCAATAATAATCAATCTATGATTTGAACTTCTTATATAAATACAGGGTTCGTTCTCTAACGAAACAAACTTAATGTGTTTCAAGGCAATGTCTAGTTTCTTGTTCCACTGTCTCGGTGCCTGTTTCAAACCACAGTGTTACACACTACGTACGTAAGTTACAGTGATATCTTAAGTAATCAGACATACCCTTCTTTATATTCTAAGCCTTCTGGTTGCTTCATATAGATGTTTTCTTCTAAATCACCATTTAGAAATGCGTTCTTAACATCCATATGATCGATGTTCAGATTTTTCTCAGCACTTAATCCTAGTAATAATCTTAAAGAATTATACCTAACTACGGGCGTATATATATTCGTAAAATCGATTCCTTCTCTCTGTCGGAATCCTCGAGCTACAAGCCTCGCTTTATAGCATATTCTTTCACTACCATTCTCCGCCTCCTTTTTGATTCTCAGTACCCACTTAGAATCAATAATATTAGCATTCTCTGGAGTTTTCCAAAGAGTTTAATTCATTGTCAATAGCTTCTTTCCATTTTTTTTTATCAGGACCAGACAAAGCTTCCCGAACTGACCCTGGTTCATCCATTTCAGTATGAGCCTCAGCTTGATAGAGAACGTAGTCATCAAAACTTTTTAGCTTCCTCTCTCTTGTTATCTGTATTCCACGATACCTTCAAATCTCTCCTCTTCGACTTCTTCCATCCATCTGCTCCTGGGCCCATAACCTGATATCACCAGTAGGTGACATAAAATTTTAGATACTAAGTAATAAAATAATAAAAAACAGGATTGTTGTACAGTATTTTGTGGAGAGAAAACAAAAGCAAGTAAGAAAATGAATGCTGCGTCAAATTGATTTACTCTTTATACCATAGACCAGACACCATAAGATCCAACAGCCTTCCAAAGCACAGAGCAGTTCGAGATAAAAAAATTTTGGTCACCTATCCCGTGACCGACCCGTGCCAAATTTGCTTAACAACAACGATCGCTAGCCGTAGGATTTATCTACTACGCCACCAAGCTACTCTACGTATGCTTGACCGCATGTAAATACTGAAGAATCAACTTCGCCCTTGTCTCTTGTATCGATCATTATACTTGTGGATATATTTACGAAGCCCATTTGATTCTGTTTGTTGGCCATTCGTTGGTCGACTCTGTACGCCACATAGATCTATGGTATGCATAATTATGTCCAAATGTATATAGCTTTTCCAAAGCTTTCCATCTGATAATAGTTTCCTTATCATAGATTTTAAATATGTATATTTTATTTACTCTTTGGTAAATGTTTATTACATTCTCTTTGGTTTGTATTACTAAACAACACATTGACGGATGTTTTCAAAATGCTCTACAGTTACAAGTTATACAAAAATTTAAAAAATGGGATAAAATTTTTATAATATTAGATTTTGCAAAATTATAACAGTATTAAAATTTTGGAATCCGTGGATCTGCTAGAAGTACCTTAGAATTTCGATGATCTTTAAGTCAGCCGGTATCAAAATTAGGGTATTTTTAATTGCAATAGTTCTTAAAGTATTTAAAGAAATTAATTTTTTTGCTCGACATGGCGGGGGAGGGGACACTTTCGTGCCCTCAGATGCCAGATATTTTTTAAGCCCAGTTCATAGATCAGGTAGAGTTCAATTCTCAACGCGTTAGTTATTTTTAAATGTGCCATAAAACGTTCGACAACAGGACAAAGACGATTCTAAAATTACTTCTTTTTTGTCACGTCCGGCGTGTATGATATGGATGAATAGTGTGCGCGGAAGTGCTAGTCACCGCCTGCGGTATGCGGACAGTGAGACGTCCCCCGTCTCACTGGGCGCGATTGACAAGACGCACATACCTCATGTAAGGATAGATAAACCTCAGAATAACATTTTAGAATCTATCTTAATCAATGTAATAGCGGTATTTATAACGTAACATTTCTCTATTTCCTACTTAAACAAAAATTAATTCATATTTGAAAGTCTTTATTAAATTTTATTATTTACGATACAAACTGTATCGTAAAGTATAAGCAAATTTACATTTCTCAATAAATAAAAAAAAAAATTTCATTATCATATTTTCCGTTACCGTTAATGAAATATTTTCATTACCACAAAATTAATCGATATCTTCTCCATTACTAGAAATGTCAATTTCCATATCCTCCTCGGAATCTGACTCACTTCCTGGATTAATTTAAGATTAACTCGTCTATCACATTGTCAAACGTCATGTAGTGGTTCCAATATTGGTTCTCAATTTTTTGTACGTGGATGTCACATCCGCCGTATTCTCCAGATTTAGCCCCAAGTGACTATTTCTTATTTCCAAATTTGAAAAAATGGCTCGGCAGAAAGAGATTTGACTCCAACGACGAAGTCATCTCACAAACAAATGCCTATTTTGATGACCTCGACAAATCATATTTTTCGGAAGGGATAAAAAAATTGGAGAAACGTTGGACTACGTGTATAGAACTCAAAGGAGACTACGTTGAAAAATAAAATAACTTTTTGTATAAAAACCTGTGTCTTATTCAAAAAGTCACGAACTTATTGACCCGCCCTCGTAATTAAAGCTGAGATGAATGAGTTCGGATAATCGGAAGTTCGGATAATCGGGATTCTATTCTACACACACAAACTTCTTCAAACATACACAGAATAACACATAATCACCCTTTCAATCTAAAGTATTTAAAATATCGACTTACCCCCGGTTTCAATAATATACCGACAACCATCGGT